TTTGGGGCTAGAATATGGATGTGGAACTCAGAAAAGTAAGGGAGAGAAGATGAACAGTAAGAGTGTTTTGGTTCAAGAAATGGGTTTTTGTATAGGCGCGAAAATGGGCGAGACTGTTCAAATTTCATGGTACAAAGACGGCTGTAACAGGTGTACTTGACTAGTGGGGGCATGCCACGTGTCCAGAGGAATAAATAAACGTTTCAGACGTGCTTGAGTAATGGAACGGCGTGCAGAGCAACTAACAAGACATTTCTGGACCAAGCGAATTGGGAGCCCGGTAATATTGAGCTTGGTTGGAGGCTTATACATCTAGCTCAGCTGGAGAAAAATAATCCCAACCATACACTGCAGATGGAATTAAAGGACAATTGAGAGGGCAATTTATGTCTAAATAAGGCCGAGCTAAGGCCATATATTGAATGGATTGAGCTAGGTTCACTCTTGGTCATTGGGCCGCGCAGCGGGTGGAAATGAGAATGGATAATGCTCGGTTGTGGACTGGACGAGAATTCAGTCCAAGGCTTGAGTTGAGGTGGTTATATCAAAACAGGACCAGGGTACGATGGTGCGGGGTTCCGGAGTGGTTATCGGCTAAAGACTGCCTTGGTTCTGTCTGGCATGGGGCAAGGCCTTCCTAGCTCGGTTGAGTTGCTACCGAGTCGAGGTAAGGAGGTTTGGGCCATCTCATTTGGGTTGATAGTGAGAAGGGTGTCATCAGGATAGGTATTATCCTGATGAGTGTGATTCCTAGAAAGGCTCTGTTGAGGAGAGTTGAAGTCCTACTAGGATTGTGCCAAGTGGAATCTATAAAAGCTCATGAAAAGACCTATGTACCGGTATCACAATTTCTACTCTCAAATACACAGGGCTTTTGTGTCTATTGTTTATTTGCTGACTTAGGCATCAGAGAGGTTTCCGGCACACACCCGCCATTGAGCTTGGTTGGAGGCTTATACATCTAGCTCAGCTGGAGAAAAATAATCCCAACCATACACTGCAGATGGAATTAAAGGACAATTGAGAGGGCAATTTATGTCTAAATAAGGCCGAGCTAAGGCCATATATTGAATGGATTGAGCTAGGTTCACTCTTGGTCATTGGGCCGCGCAGCGGGTGGAAATGAGAATGGATAATGCTCGGTTGTGGACTGGACGAGAATTCAGTCCAAGGCTTGAGTTGAGGTGGTTATATCAAAACAGGACCAGGGTACGATGGTGCGGGGTTCCGGAGTGGTTATCGGCTAAAGACTGCCTTGGTTCTGTCTGGCATGGGGCAAGGCCTTCCTAGCTCGGTTGAGTTGCTACCGAGTCGAGGTAAGGAGGTTTGGGCCATCTCATTTGGGTTGATAGTGAGAAGGGTGTCATCAGGATAGGTATTATCCTGATGAGTGTGATTCCTAGAAAGACTCTGTTGAGGAGAGTTGAAGTCCTACTAGGATTGTGCCAAGTGGAATCTATAAAAGCTCATGACAAGACCTATGTACCGGTATCACAATTTCTACTCTCAAATACACAGAGCTTTTGTGTCTATTGTTTATTTGCTGACTTAGGCATCAGAGAGGTTTCCGGCACACACCCGCCGGCTAGCTCACGTTTGTGTTTTCAAGTAGTAAAGTGATGACGTTTGGAGGAGTGCAAACTTGATCAACAGGATTATACGAGAAGATTATTTCATGCTCATTCAAAATCCCATTAAACACGCCATCAACTATGTGTAGGCTGCAACAAACTCACCAAAGCATGCACTGGAAGCACACCATGGCTGGATTAGCTTGAAACCTTCTCATTGGAGCAGCTTATCCAAACCACGATCCATGAGCGAAACAAACAATGCCAATCAACCATTGGGTGGAAGAGAGACACAGCACACCAAGAAAAAAAAAACCCAGCTCCTATGACTCCTCCATCGCCAACAAGAAACTCGGGGAACAAGCAGGCCCGACCCTGAGATTTTCGAGTCCCAAAGCTGATAATCAACTGATAAATTTCTAGGGCCCTTCACTTTTTTTTTCATTAAATGAAAAAAAAAATGAAAGTAAAGAACAAAAGATTTGTGTCAAAATCACAAAAAATTCTTAGCATTACATTACAACAACTAATAAATATCGCTTGATTCTCACTCTTCTTACATTTTTAGAAGCAAATAAATCAATTATACTTGCATAATCTAGTTTTTTTGCAAAATCATTTTCAATAGATAACAATGCTAATTATTTTAAATGGGCCTTTTAATTTTTTTAATGAGTCAATTTATTTTAAATTAGTTTGGGTCTTCCTTAATTTTTTTTGAGCTTAAAATATACCTAATATATTATACTAAATTATAATAGGAGGGGGGCCCTTTTTGGGGTCTATTGTCAATGAATAACAATGCTAATTTTTTTAAATAAGCCTTTTAATTTTTGAATAGGTCAATTTATTTTAAGTTTATTTGAACCTTTTTCAATTTTTTTTGGATTTAAAACATACTTAATATATTACACTAAATTATAATAGGAGGGGCCCCCTTTTTTAGGTCTATTTCGGGGGGCCCAAAGCCATGGCCTGGTGGGCCTATGAAGGGCCGGCCCTGGGAACAAGTCCCATACACTAGCACTAGAGAACTAGAGCCTGTCAACCTTGCGCTGAAACAGAGACATTAGAATAGAAACCCAGCACCAGTGAATAAAATGGAAGGCTACTAATGATTGGGATGAAAGGAGTAAAGGGAGAAATAATTGAATGGCATTGTTTATAAATTTGAAGATGTGCTAGGGGCATTTCGTCTTAAAAATAGTATTACTCTCCTTACAAGCGTGTGACTCTCATAATGTGTTATCTTGAACGGAAAAGCTAACTGTGCATTTTAATTCACAAATCACATGGGGGTTATGTAATAATTTTCGAATGTCAGAGTAAAATGAAGTTTGCCCAAAATTTTAGAGAAAAGAATAAGACCCCCACCACCCCCAATGAAATCTGATTGGTCCAATTTCTATTTTTTTTTTTTTTTTTTTGTCCTCCTCTCCTTGCCCCCCACATGTATGTGGGGGTGGTGGGGGTGAACCCCAAATGAGGGTCTGGATCATCTCTAAAAATTTTATTGTGAGGGCATATTTGAAAGTGATGTTACTTTTCAATATTTCAGATGTTATATGATTATGTTGACCCCATGAAACTTTTACTTGGTGTTTTTTTTTTTTTTTTTTTTTTGTCCTCCTCTCCTTGCCCCCCACATGTATGTGGGGGTGGTGGGGGTGAACCCCAAATGAGGGTCTGGATCATCTCTAAAAAATTTATTGTGAGGGTATATTTGAAAGTGATGTTACTTTTCAACATTTCTTTTCAAAGTAAACTGTAGTTTCGTGCATCCACCAAAGATAGACATAGACAAAAAAAAAAAAAAAATCATAAATTGAACAAAAAAAAAAAAAAAAAGGAAGATAGAGGTGAAGATAATGCACAGGGGAACCAAATTGCAAACTAGCCCAAATCTCATATGTTTTTAGAGTAAATTACAACTCCATATTTGTTGGTTTAGAAAATATGTGAATTTGGTTTTTTGATAAATGAAGATATGTGAATCTTGAAAACGTGTATGTGAATCTCCTGCGTATCTTACCTAGCATTGTTAAGCCTGTCAAGATTCCTTCTATCTAGTTCCTAGGCTGGCAAACCATGCAAGTCATCCTTTTAATAAAAAAAACAAAAAATAAAATAAATAAAATTATTTATTCAGATGGTGTAAACAAATGAAGGATACAGAGTGTTAGCATATATTATACATTAGCTGAGTATACGTTAGCTGTAAAGTATGTAAAGAATCACAAGCTTTAATTAAGTTGTCTACATAGTGCATAGCTTTAATTATGTTGTCTACATAGTGCATAGCTTTTCTATTTCTTCTTTCGATTCTCCTCTATATAAATGAGAGTCATCTTCACCTTGTAAACATATACTGAATATATCAATATACACTTCATTCAGTCTCTCTCTCTCTCTCTACCAAGTTAACATGGTATCAGAGCGAAGTTTTACAATTCTGGGATTTTCTATTTTTGTTGCTTAGTCCCGTAGACAGTGGCACTACACCAACCTCTTCGGAATCACCTCACGATTCCAACGGCACCACTCCTGTCACCAGAATCGTCGTCATGCACCACCTTTGTGTTCGGCGCATCTCAGCTTCCACCGCCACTCGCACATGCGCCCTCACGCGCCCCTCCGTTGCTTGCTCACGTCAGCATCTGACGTCAACCCTGCGCTTGTGTGCACCGCACCTGCTACTGTGCACCAAGAGTGCGCCGATATGCTCTTGTGCACCCGCATGCGCCGTTTTACTCTTGTGTGCCGTGTGTACGCCGTGTATGCGCCGTTCCGCTATTGTACGCTCGCGTGCGCCATTCTGCTTCTGTGCACAGCGCGTGCGTCGTTTTGCTACGGTGTGCGCCGCACGCCATTCCTGTTACTGTGCGCCGTACTCCAGTCTGCTATTGTGTGCCGCTGACATCATCCGACCCTCTGCTGACGTCATCTCTGCATAGCAGCCTCTCTTTCAGCTATTTTCAACCTTTCAGACTCACTAGTACGCTCTGTTTTACCAGATTTTACTCCTACAGGCCTGTTCCTATTTTTTAGTCCTACTCCACTTTTATTATGGATAGCCACGATGCCTCCCATCCAATTTCTGTTCTTTTTAATGGTTCTAATTATGTACTGTGGGCCCAAGCCATGTCTTCCTTTCTCAAAAGACGAAATTTTGGCGTATTATCACCATGGATGTGACCAAACCGATGAAAGAAGACGTTGAACCTACTGCCAAATATAAAGACCGACTCGAAGATTGGGACAGTAAGAATTACCAAATCATCATCTGTTCCCAATCCTGCTAAAGTCATTTGGGATTTTTTGAGTGATCGATACCAGACTACCGGTCTTGCTCATCAGTATTAACTTCAGAGTCAACTTCACCGCATTTGCCAAGAATCTCGTCAGTCTATTAATGACTTTCTTTCTTAAATGTATTCTGTTTGGGACCAGCTTGCTCTTACAGAACCGGCATGGCCTCACCTTGAAGATGCTGTTTTATTCATTACCTATCGCAATCAGCAGCGGTTGGTTCACTTTTTCATGGCTCTCACTCCCTCTTTTGAGCCCGTGCGTACCTCTTCTCTTCATCGCCTTCCATTGCCCACTCTTGAACAGGCTATTTCTGAGCTGTTATCTGAGGACACTCGTCTTGGTACTCTCCAGACTTATCATGTGGACTCTGTTCTTGTCACTCCTCAGTCACGGCCCTCACCGACCCAACGGTCTACTGCTTACATCTATTGTCAGAATCGGGCCCTTCCTTCTACTCGTCTTCTAGTTCATTGCCCTGTTCGATCCTGCTAATATTGCAACAAACTTGGTCCTGGTCATCTGCAACAAGATTGTTTTCGCAATCCATCCCAGTTATCTTCCACTAGCCACTCCTCTCGCGGTGTTTCCTCTAGGGGAAGCTCTCATCATCAGTTTAATCGCACTACTACTGCTGCCTCTGAAGATTTCTCTGAGTCTCCTGCTCCATCTACCCCTGTTTTTTTCTCAAATTGATGTTGAGGCCATGTTCAAACAGTTTCTCTCCACCTCTGGTACACCTCTTCCTACTGCTTTGTCTGTGACTCCAGGTAACTCTTCTTGGTATTTTGACTCCGCCTGTTGTAATCATATGACTTCCAACTCTACTATATTCTCTTTCATCTCTCCCTCTACTCATCTTCCCTCCATTCATACTGCTGATGGTTCTCTCATGTCTGTCAGTCATGTAGGTACTATTTCCACATCTCAATTATCTTTACCTCAAGTTTATCATATCCATGCTCTAACTTTAAACCTTATCTTTATTAGTCAATTATGTAAGCTTGGTCTAATCATTACATTTTCTACTAATGGTTGTTTGGTGCAGAACCCTCAGACGGGACAGACTATTGGGATCGACCATAAGCATGGACGTCTCTATGAACTCATTCAACTTCATCTTCCTAACTCCCCACAGATCGCCACTCTTGCACCTGCTTCCTCTTTGTCTCCTTTTCATCTTTGGCATTGTCGCTTAGGACATATTTCTGCTAGTCGCTTAAAGTCTTTGGTTTCTATTGGTCAATTGGGTCATATACTTCCAGATACTTTTGATTGTATACCCTGTCAACTTGCAAAACAACTTGCTTTATCATTTAATAAAAGTATTTTTGTTTCCCATGCTCCTTTTGATGTCATACATTCGGATATTTGGGGCCCATCCCCTACTACTACCATGGAGAGATCTCATTATTTTGTTATTTTTATTGATGATTATTCACGGTTTACTTGGCTTTTTCTCATGAAAACTCGGTCTGAACTTAAACATCTTTATTATAGCTTTGCCAAAATGGTCCACACCCAATTTTCAAAGACCATTAAAGTTTTTCGCTCTGACAATGCTATAGAATATCAGGATACTGATTTCCTTTCCTTTCTTCAGAGTCATGGTACTCAGCCTCATCGTTCCTATGCTGGCACATTACAACAAAATGGACGTGCTGAACGGAAACATCGGCATATTCTTGACACTACTTGCTCTCTCCTTCTCTCATCTTCCTGCACTGAAAACTTTTAGAGGGAAGCTGCCCATATTGTTGTGTACACTATCAATTGTGTACCTACCCCTGTCATCCATCATCAAACTCCCCTTGAACGTTTACATGGCACTCCCCCTCCATACACCAATCTTCAGGTTTTTGGCTTTGCTTGCTTTGTTCTGCTTCAATCCCATGAATACACCAAGCTTGAACCTCGTTCTCGTCTTTGCTGCTTTCTTGGATATGGGATTGAACATAAAAGCTTTCGCTGTTGGGATCCTCTCTCTAAGCATCTTCGTATCTCCCGCCATGTAGTTTTCTGGGAGCACAAAATGTTTTCCTTCCTCTCCTCCTTTCACTTACCCACACTCTCCACTCCGGTCATATTTACTAATCCTTCCCTAGATCTCTTCTCTAATAACTCTGATACAGGTTCCTCCTTCATCGAGATGCCCTTGTTGATCCCTAATCTCCTCTAGACTGTTCTCCCTGATGGTCCACCTCTTATTGCACCTTCTAGCCCGTCTCCTCCTTCTTCGCCAGCTCTTTCCCCTACCGATCCTCCCACGGGTCGGCCGTACCGGGTAACTCAACCATCTATTCATCTTCGTGATTATGTTGTTGGGTTTGCTGCCTTTTCTACTTATGAACCTACCTCCTATCATGAGGCTTGTACTAATCCTCTTTGGCAGCAAGCTATGACTGATGAACTCCAGGCTATGGACAAAACTCATACTTGGGATATTGTTGATCTTCCTCCTGGTAAGACTGCAAATGGGTCTACAAAATCAAGACTCATTCCAATGGCTCTATTGAGCGCTACAAAACTCGTCTTGTTGCCAAGGGTTTCAACCAGGTATATAGCATTGATTATGAGGAGACCTTCTCCCCTGTTGCTCGACTTACCTCTATTCGCAGTTTGCTTGTTGTTGCTGCTGCTCGCCACTAGGAGCTCTTTCAGATGGATGTCAAAAATGCTTTCCTTAATGGTAATCTTCTTGAGGAGGTCTACATTCAACCTCTACCTGGGTCTACTTATCCAACTCATGAGGTTTGCAAACTATAGCATGCCCTCTATGGTCTCAAGTAAGCACCTTGCGCTTGGTTTGCTAAGTTCAGTTCTACCATTCATGACTTCGGGTTCACCTCTAGCTCCTATAACTCTGCTTTATTTGTTTGGACTACTACTTATGGTACCACTCTTCTTCTTCTTTATATGGATGATATGATTATCACTAGTAATGATGCAGCTGGTATTCTTCACCTCAAACGTTTTCTCCACCGTCAGTTTGAGATGAAGGACCTTGGCACTCTTAACTACTTCTTAGGCCTTGAAATCTCCTATGATTCTACTGGTTACTATTTGTCCCAGGGCAAATATGCATCCGATCTTCTGGCCCATGCTGGTCTTACCAATTGCAAAACTACCTCTACTCTAGTTGATCTTCAGTTTTGTCTCACTCCTCTCGATGGGGATCTCCTCTTTGATGCTACTCTTTATCGCTAGCTAGTCGGTAATCTTGTCTATCTCACTATGAGTCGTCCTGACATTGCCTATGTTGTTCATCTTGTTAGTCAATACATGTCGGCTCCTCGCATTCCCCATTATACTGCTCTACTCCGCATCCTTCGCTACCTCAAAGGCATTCTGTTCCATGGCCTTCACTACTCTGCTTCCTCCTCTCTTGAACTGGGTGCCTTTTCTGATGCTGATTGGGCTGGGGATCCTACGGATCAACACTCCACCGCAGGTTTCTGTTTCTTCTTAGGGGATTCTCTTCTTACTTGGCGCAGCAAGAAACAATCCCTCACTGCCCACTCTAGTACCGAAGCTGAATACCGAGCTCTTGCTAATACTACTCAAGAACTTCTCTAGCTTCGCTGGCTCCTTGCTGATATGGGTGTTTCTTCTTCTGGTGCTACCTCTCTCTATTGTGAAAATCAGAGTGCCATTCAGATTGCTCACAATAATATTTTTCATGATCGCACCAAGCATATTGAGATTGATTGTCATTTCATTCGACAGTATGTTACACGTGGTACTGTTCTTTTTCTCCCTATTGCTTCTGCAGATCAACCTGCTGATCTTTTCACCAAGGCTCATCCTCCTAGGCGCTTCAGTGATTTCATTTCCAAACTCAATTTGGTGGATGCCTACCCTCCTTGAGTTTGCGGGGGGATGTTAGTATATATTATACATTAGCTGTGAAGTATGTAAAGAATCACAAGCTTTAATTATGTTGTTTACATAGTGCATAGCTTTTCTATTTCTTCTTTCGGTTCTCCTCTCTATAAATGAGAGTCATCTTCACCTTGTAAACATATACTGAATATATCGATATACATTTCATTCAGTCTCTCTCTCTCTCTATCTCTCTCTCTCTCTCTCTACCAAGTTAACACAGAGCAAGTCCATGCACAAGGAAAATAGAAGGTAGACCACTTGCTGAAATCCAAACGTATCAATGGTAGATCAAGTTCTTCACATGAATGGAAGTGAAGGAGACTCTAGCTACTCCAATAACTCACTACTTCAGGTCTCTCTCTCTCTCTGTGTGTGTGTGTGTGTGTGTGTTTATACATATTGTAAGTTTCTGTCTAAATATTGATTGGTCTTCAATTTTTTTTTAAAATTTTACTCTGTTCTCTTTGGTTTTTTTTCTTTTTTTATGTTGATGGCAAAGCCCATACTAGAGGAAAGATCAGAAACTTGTACTGTACATACAAGCTTCCCTGAGCGCATAAACATGGCAAACTTTGGATGCGCTTCTGGACCCAATGCTTTTATGCCAATATGGAATGTCATAGAGAGCATCCACAACATGTGTCGCCAGCTGAATCATAAGCCACCGGCGTTGCAGGTGTCCATGAATGATCTCCTGGGTAACGATGTCAACACTACTTTTAGATCGTTGCCAAGATGATTTGAGAAGATTGAGAGAGATAAAGGAGGAGACCCACCAAATACATACACTCGCCGGTCATCAGAAGTGGTCTTCCTATGGAAGGCTGTTTCCTGACCATTCATTCCATTCACTTTGCTTATTCTTCCTATAGCTTCCATCGGCTCTCTCAGGTCATTTTTGTCAAATACCCACTTCATTTTTCTACATTTGTTCACATGAGGCCACTATCGGGCGATATGTATTGGGTTTTTGTTGTTATGATGTATACAGGTTGGAATGAAAAATCACGTAGATACTGATTTACAAACCGATCATAGTTCATGATGTTGGTCCTCAACCAATACATGTTTGACTACTGTAAAACTCTTTTTTGCAGCCAATGAATTTTTTTAAAAAAAAATTACCACAGCAACACTTAATTCCTGATATTGCTTGATACTTCTAATAGAGCGTTATGCCACTCCAAATACTGTTACATCTCCCGATATCACTTATTTAAAACCATGGGTAGAAGCAAAGTTTTAAATAAGAGTATCGACCGTGGTATAACAGTGAAGGTATAACAGTTTTGAGAGTATCAAATCGAGAATTGGGTGAAACGATATTGAGTAGCAATTAACAAGGTATGCTTTCAGGTACCTAAAGGGCTCACAAGTGAATTGGGAATTCCACTTAACAAAGGGAACATCTGCATAGCTCAAACAAGCCCACCTGGTGTTCGCAAAGCCTACTTGGATCAATTTGAGAAAGAGCTCACTGCATTCCTAAGGTCTCATTCAGAAGAGATGATACCTGGAGGCCTTATGGTGCTCATCTTTGTTGGCAGCAATGAAGACCCTGATTGTTTCACCAGATTTGGTCCCAATATATGGGAACAATTTGGGATGATCCTAAATGACATGGTCATTGAGGTAAAACCCTAGAGAGACAGATTCTAGACTTTGTGAATAGCAGTTATCTTCACACCTGCTGTAAATTTGAATATTTGATTTGAATCCAGGGACTAATTGAAGCATCGAGGCTAGACTCATTTAACATGCCATTATATACACCCTCAGCAGAAGAAGCACGGCAAGTGATTCAGAGAGAAGGGTCGTTCAGTCTCGCAGGCTCGAGACATTCATACTAAGATGGGATGCCAACATCGACAATGGAAACAAAGGCTTGGTGTTTGATAAAATATGCAAGAGGCAAGTAGGCAGCAAACTGAATAAGAGCAGTTGGAGAATCAATTCTGGTGAGTCAGTTTGGAGAAGCGATCATGGACAATCTGTTTGATAGGTTAACAAAGAAGGTTGCGGAGTACTTGGAAATGGGCAAAGGTGTGGTCACCACTCTGATCATATCCTTGACTAAGGATTGAAAGTCTTTAATAAAACTAAGTTTGGATTGGGTGATTTGAAGAGAAAATAATGCTTTTTGAGACTACATAATGGAAAGTACAACACATTCATTCTCATTTCTTGTAAAACTCAACAATGTCTCATCAAAGTCAAATTTATTCATTGCACACATAAGGAGGCAGTACCATTACACGCATACATACACATACATATCATCATGATTATCATTGCAAATCACTACCCAAAAAAAAAAAACCTTACCCATCAATGATCATTTTCCATTTCCACTCATGCAAGGAGTGAGCTAGGAGTGAAAAAGAAAATGTCACCAAGCCTATCGTTGCTAGGCGAATTGCCACCATACACCAACAATCCAGGTTGTTCATCTCGTTTTCCAGGGGCATATGCACACCATCCACGTGGTCCCGGATGATTATCGCCAGAGTTGGAGCTATCGTCCCATTTTTGCCACACTAGTGTCTCGGTGTCGAGTGCATAGAGATCACCTGAAAATTGCCCAGCACCAAGGTGGCCCAAGTCACTAGGATCCACTTCCCCACCGGATATGAATATGTACTTTCCAATCCCAACCGTTGAAAACACGCTGCGGGGTGTTGGTTTTTCGCCACTTGTCTCTACTTGGACCCACTTTTCATTAACTGGGTCAAAGAAGTGCACATCGTCGAGCTCTACACCGGAGAAACCATAAACAACCCATATTTTTCCCTGGGCCACAGCCAGCCCAGGCCCACCTCTAGGCTTGCAATTCTCCCCTGGTAGCGGAAATTTGATCCACTTTTTCTCAGCACCGTCATAAGCCCATAGATCGTTTAACCTGCCATTGACACCACACCCACCAAATACATACACTCGCCGGTCATCAGAAGTCACTGAGTGGTAGCTCCGGTGGGCCGGTCCGGTGTCCCCACTTGAGATAAGTGTCCACTTGTTTGTAACCGTGTCAAAAGAGTAGAGCTCATTGAGCTCTGTGTGTGTGGCATCTCTACCACCAAACACATAAATGGTTTCACCAACAGACGCCATTGTGACACCGACACGTGGCGGAGGGGCGTTGCCGGTGACTTCAGCCACTGACCATGTTAGGTCATTGAGATCAAGCACATGCATATGGTTATCTACTGGTACACGTGGTGTGAATTCGCCTCCAAAAACATAAGCCTTTTGTCCCACAATGGTGATGGCATGCGAGCTTCGTGCTCCAGGCCCACTTCCTTTTTGTTCAAGCTGCATAAAATCAACTTCATGTAAAATTAACATTTGGTTTGATGGCCTTCCATGTAACTAGACGATAATGGACAAACATGATCACATGGTACCGGTCAGTGACCCATAGACCTAAGGCCTTTATTTTAAACGGCCAACTAAACACTGCCTAATTTAGTAGGTAGGATGATGTTGAACATCAAGCAAAAAGCAAACTGAAAGAAGTTAGTAAGAAACTAGATCCAAACCAAGCTAAACCTCGATTTTTTATTTATTTATGGGTAAGTAATAATATTTATTCAAAAAATAAGTGATATTTAAACAACATAAAGGGGCATACACCTAACAAAATTTTCCATGCTAGTCATAACCATAAGTAAAAACTCAATAATATGGTACAACAAATTTACAAAACAGTGAAGAAATTTCAAGAAATACAAGGTTTGATTAACAAAAAAATTGAGGTCAATCATCCCAGTTAAACAGTTGGTTATTAGTTATTATAAACATCATATTACCATAAAAGTCTTTTTTTTTCTTTCTTTTTTTTTTTTTTGAACAGTCTTATTTGAATCTCACAACTTAATAGCATATAGCTGTTTTAGATCTTGGATTTGTGGACGGACTGTGAAGCGAACGTTTTAAATAAATAAAAAAATAGCTTCTACTTCATTTGTCTTGTCATTTTCTTTTCTTTCCCTCCACAAATCCCTCTACAAATTTATGATTAAAACACATTTAGGTTAACAAATAAGAGAATCATGGCTGTAACAAGTCAAATTTGTGGTTAAATGTCAGGTCAAATGTCTACTACATGAACAGCCAAGACTGAAGAGGATTGATCATAGGACCCCATGATCAGTTGGGTTGTTTGACTTTCAAGAAACATAGAAGTTCTCAAGGTCAAAAGAATTCAACCAAAGATATCGTAATTTTATGGGACGACATATATGTGTATGTATATAATACATCTGTGTCTGTGCGTATATGTGTCTATAAAACTGACAACATTAATAACTAGAAAAACTAATCAAGTGATTTTATTTTATTTTTAAATTTTATCATGGGGGTTCAAGCAAACTCAGAAAAAATGACCACAGGGAAGGATCAGTGACATATAATTGAGGGATCGATAAGATGATATGAAGATGTCACGAAGTAAAGGTTAAGGTAAAGATAGAGCAGAGTTAGACAAACTCAAGCAAACAAAGTTTGTGATTTGATTACTAAATTTAGAGGTAAGTGAGAAACAGACCTTGATCCATTTGCCTTGTGCTAGAACCATGGCCAGATTGATGACTGTGGACTCACTGCAGGACTCACAGAGGGGAGGTCTGATCGATGACGACAATGAAAGAGTTTGGAACCTAACGCGTGCTTCTTATAAGAATTATCTTAGCTGATTATAACTGCTAACTAAACCAATTTATTTTTGTTATTTTGGCCAAAACCATGGAGGGGTTGGTGTTGCTTAATTGTTTAATTAATTAGGAGATAGTTTTTTATTTATTTATTAAGAATATACTTTTGATTCCTTTTAATGAGCATCTCCAACCCACTAGGCATATAATGTTTGTTAGTCAAACTACTTGGTATGACTCACTTTTTTCAACTCCAATACACTCAGCGTATGATTAGGCATTTTAACTCAACTCACATTCAATAGCTACATGTAGCTAGCTTTCAAAAGTTAGGCCAAACATATTTAATCATTAGGATCATTTCCCTCCATCTTTATTTATTATTGATGTGACATTCTATAAATTTAATAGTATTTGGATGAATAGCTAAAATAAATAGCATGGTTAGAGTAGAAACATGAAACAGTTGATAGGCAAAATAAAATTTATAATTTATAATAATATTTAGATAAGTAAAATGCCTATTACTGTTGGAGATGCTCTAAAGCATAGATTAGCTGGATGTTGTAAGTTTAGGAAATGATTAAAAAAGTAGTACCAATGGTTAATTAATTTAGTTAGTACCCTCCCCAGTTGTCGTGGTTATGCCTGCACTCTGCTGATGTGTTTTAATTTATTATAAAACCAAGTGTTGACTAGGATAAGTTACCAATAAAACAAAGGTTTATGTATGGTTTTTATTTTTAAATGACACAGGCCATTCTTTCAAAATTTATATTTACACTCCGTTTGTTCAATGGAAAATAATTCCGTGGTCAATGAAAAACAAGCTGATTTGAGTAAAAAAAATGTTTATCAGACTAAAGTATTACCAATGCCATCACACTACCACCGCCACACCACCACTAATACAACTACTTGTACATTAGTTTCAAAGTCACGTCAACTCGATTTTGTAGTCCATACAGTGGCATTTGATTAGCAGAATTACTACTTCAGTTGCTAGGTTTTGAGCTAAACTCAGCTAGGGGTGAATAACAGTGTGCTGGTTGTGATGTTGGACTTCTTGTATGTTGTTGGCCTTTTTTAAACATAATTCTCATGTTTTTGCAAATTAACTCTTACAATTAAAATTAAAAAAAACTGACAAAAATCAGTGCGGTTGGTTTCAGTTTTCAGAAAATTGATTTTTTTTTTTTCATTTTTTTTAGTGAATATTTTTAAAATAGGGGTGAATAACAGTGTGCTGGTTGTGATGTTGGACTTCTTGTATGTTGTTGGCCTTTTTTAAACATAATTCTCATGTTTTTGCAAATTAACTCTTACAATTAAAAAAAAAATAAACTGACAAAAATCAGTGCGGTTGGTTTCAGTTTTCAGAAAATTGAATTTTTTTTTTTCCATTTTTTTTAGTTAATATTTTTAAAATTTTAAATAATTTTTTTACATTTTTTGATATACCGTATCTAAATAGTAAAATATTTGTGAAAAAATATTTAAAAAATTAATAAATACACAAATATAAAAAATGTACTAAATTTTTATTTTTTTATTTTATTTTTTGATATTTGGTGTATTTTTAAAGATTTTTTCATAAATGTTATATTTTTTTAAGTGTATTTATGTTAACTGTATCTAAAAATTAAAAAAAAATTACTTAAAATATTTAAAAAAAATTCATTAGAAACAGTAAAATACTGAAAGTAAATTTTTTTGAAAAACCAAACAAATTAGGAAAACTAATCAAATGACAATCTTTGATCATGGGTTGAGTCAAACTTAGCAATAATAACCACGAGGAAGGATCAGAAACATAAAATTGAAGGAATTGAGATAATGATACGAAGATTTGAAGCCAAAGATAGAGCAGAGTCATACAAACTCAAATGAAAACAAAGACTGTGATTTTGAGTAGTAAATTTAGAAGGAAACGAGAAACAAACCTTGACCCATTTGCCTTGAGCAGAAGCCATTGCCAATTTGCCAGAGAGATGATTGTGAGAGAGGGAACCGAAAGTCTGATGGAAACACTGATGATGAGTTTTTAGCCTAATGGGGGCTTCTTTATAGGAAAGGGATAATCTCATCTCTCTGTAATTGCTATCTTATGCCCTCAGAATTTAATGTAGTTGCATTCACCTCAATAAAAAAAGAGCTTTGATTGAGACCCCTTAAAATTTCAACCCCACACACGTGGAGATTGGTTATTGGGTTAGAAGAAAAAAAAATAAAATAAAATAAAAAATATGGACCAATCAAAAGCAAAGGGGTTGTAGGGGTGACCCTATCAACGGGGTCGAATCTTTTTTCATAAAAAAAATATATGTATATACATATATTATAACTAGCTGCCCTCATTAGAGTTTGATGCAGCTACATTTGGAGTAAAATACAATGACCATATTAAATATATGGTTAAATTACATTGGCATCCCATGAGGTTTATATTTATTATAATTTTCTTTTCACCTTTTGAAAATTACATTTTCCTCCTTGAAATTTAAAGTTTCATTACAGATCCCTCTTCGACAATTTAATTTTTTTAAATATCAATTTTTCTTTCACTAGATAAATTACATTGACACCTCTCACATTTCAAAAATTACAATCCCCTCCTTAAAGTTTAAAGTAACATTATCAATTGCTCCCTTGGTTAGTACTAGTTAGAAAAAAATTCATTGAAAAAAAATTTTGTTAGTAAAATTTTTAAATTTCTGTTTAAAAACCAACATAAACTCATGTTTTGAATTTACTTTTCTTCCTCATATTTACAAACTAAGACAACAATTTATAAACCAAAAAAATTATCAAACAACTTTTTATGACAGTTTTTAAAATTTTTGTAAACATAAATTGAAAACTGAAAATGAAATGGTTAACAAACAAGGTTCAGATAGTAAAAATGTCGTAAAATTAACAAATAATTAAATAAGTTACCAACGTAAAAAATGACTTATCAAAAGATTCTTAAATTATGTATGATTTGATAATTAGAAATTTTAATTTGGTTAAGAAATAAAAAATAAAAAATAATTAATAAATGTCATAAAATTATAAATGTCGTAAAATTAATTTTTACGTTTTTTTTCAACTAATTATTTGTTAATTTTATGACATTTTTACCATCTGATGTCTGTTTGGTAACTATTTCATTTTCAGTTTATATTTATAAAAATTTTAAAAACTGTCATAATTTTTTTGGTTTATAAATTGTTGTCTACAGTTTGTAAATTTGAAGAAAAAACGTAAATTTAAAAAATGAGTTTACGTTGGTTTTTGAATATAAATTTAAAATTTTTACTAACAATTTTTTTTTTCAATTAATATTTCTTTTCAATGAATTTTTTTTCCAACTAATACTAACTGATGGGGGCAATTGGTAATGCTACTTTAAACTTTAGGAAAGGGATTGTAATTTCTAAATTGTGAGGGGCGTCAATGTAATTTACCCAATAAGGGTAAAATTGGTATTTAAAAAAATTAAATTACTGAGGGGAGGAATCTATAATGAAACTTTAAATCTCGGGGAGAGAGATATAATTTTCAAAAGATGAAGAGAAACTGTAATAAATATAAACCTTAAGGGTGTCAATATAATTTATCCTACATATATTGTGCTGTTTTAAAGTATAAATTTTCATAATAATGCAATCTATTATAACGTCATTCGTAGAGTTGATTTGGGAAGTGGTTTTGTTTTATTAAAATTTAAAATAAAATTAAAAATTTGAAGTGTTTGGAAACCTTTAAAAAGTAAATAAAATTAAAAGAATTTTTAATTACTTATACCAAAAGTCAAAAATTTCATTTTCTCTCTATTTTTTGTAAATTTTTTTATAAAAAATCAAAAAATTATCCCAAACATATTAATTTTTTTACATCATATTTTTGTTCTCAAACCATGCCTTAGTCCTTGATGGATGAAAATGGTAATATCATTAATTTTTAATATTAAAATGTTTGTTTATGTTTAAATTATACATTTTGTTAAACAAATTTTTTTTAAAATTAGGGAGTATAATTGTGTTATTTCGGATTAATATATGATTAAGTACGAAATATCTAAGAGTGATAAACTATTTTCATCAACTCCAATAACCCTATTAAATTGTCATCATTAACACTATAGTACATACACTTTGTGTAAGATATTTAAAAATAAAATAACATAAATTTATTTTTTTGAATTATAATTTAAAAAGGACCTGACTTTGGTCCAGTTCACTATCGGATTGGACCATACTGTTAGGCCCGTGGAGGTCCACCACGAGTCCCATTTTGAAAATCTGAACCATTCAAAGTGTAGAACTCGTCGAATACTATATGTCTGTGAATAATTACGTTAATCGAATATCGATAGCTATGTGATCAAAACGGTTTTTTATCAACCGTTAATTTATTCACCGTCTATTTTTTTTTATACAAAACTGATTTGATCACATAGCTATCGATATCTGATCAACGTAATTTTTCACAAGCATATAGTACTTGACGAGTTCTACATATTAACGGTTCAGATTTTCAAAACGGGACCCGTGGTGGGCCTCCGCGGGCCCAACAGCACTGTCCAGTCCGATGGCGGACTGGACCAAAGCCAGACCCTTTAAAAAAAAATGTTATAACTAAACACAATATAAAATATAACTAAAAACTCATGAGTATAATTATATTAAAAAAAAAACAAAGAACAAAAAATTGGTCGTAACTAAAAAATAAAATAGCATAACTAAGAGTGTATTTAGTGCACTCTTTTTAAAGTGGTGTATATTAGAATTTCTCTTTTTTATGATATGTAATATTACCTTGCTTTTTTGTTGTTTTAGGCCTCTTTGAGAAGTATCAAAAGCTAGTTTATTAACTTATTTGAATCACATAATTTTTCTATTTTTATGCATTTTTTTATAATAATTAAAAAGGTCGGTTTTTTTTAGCACTATCCAAGACATTCTTTAATCGTATGGACGAATAAGTAAGAGGGAAGATAAACGTAGATTAATAGAGTATGAAAATTATGTAATTATTACATAATTCATATTAGTAGTTAATTAATTTCCAACTATTTTTTTATTTCTTATATATGTATAATAATATTTCCCTTCTGAGAAATTCTATTTACACACCACCTGTTTGTTTGAGTACACACTACAATCTACATACAAAGAGTTTCATCTTCAAAACATCAGAGATCTCTATTGTAGGCACTACAGATCTCCATCATCGTCTAAGGGTTTCATTCAACTAGTGCATTGTTATCGTTTCAAATCTCTATAATTGCCGTCATCGTCTGGCCATTGTTTCGCCGGTGTATTGTTGGTGTTGAAGATCTCAAAAGATTTGCGATTCTCTCGCCTTTGATTCACACATTTGATTCCCACCTTAATATATTTTTCTTATTTGCTTTTGATTTGGTTACTAATTAAACTTCCATAGCAATTTCTATTTTGAATTTGGTTCAACTCTAGTTGTTCAAACATAATATATAGGGAAAATTAGTCTAAGGTCCCTCTTTCATTTTTAGTAATGAAAGAGATCCACAATATTATTTAATGATGTTTAAAGTCCTTCAACCCCCGACACCCATATATCACTAAGAAATTTGATCTCTCAAATCAAACTGCCTCTTCCTCTCTCTCTACTCTTCCACTCTACCTCCATCGCCAGAGTTCATCGTCGTCATCGTCTTCTCCAACTCTCTCTCCTCCATCAAACGAAGCTCAAAGCATTCCAAAAAAGGAAGAGTAATGAAGAAAAAGCTGGTCTCCAGTGGCACCGCCATTAGATATCAAGACGGCTTGGTTAGGCAGTGTACAACATCTGTAGAGGACATGGAACCATGGATTTGTTTGATAATGTCATAGAAGATTTCATTGATGGAGCAGATTTTATGGATTATTTCAAGGCGATTTGGTATCCTAGAATAGGTTCATGGACTACTATCCTCAAGACTCTTCCGCTTGCAAGCCAAGAGACTTGTGCAGCTATGGAATTTTACCATAACCAAATGAAGCTTAGGTTGCTAAATGATAATGATTCTAGTGTTTATCAACATGCTGATTGGTTGGTTGATAAGTTGGGTACTAAAGTGCATTCCTACTTCTGGATTGATGAGTATTCAGGAAAAGATGATTTTGCATGATATTGGAAGGATGAATGGATGAATGGTTTAACATCTTGGCACAAATCTTTGAAGATTCCCAACTCTGATGTTGTCATGGACGGTAAATGTGCAAAAGTTGTTGACCAGGAAGATCGAAAAAGAGCTCATGTTGTATTTAACCCTGGTACAGAGTTTGCAATCTGTGATTGCAGTTGAGCAGAAATGGGCAACGTCTGTGAGCATGTGTTCAAAATTATTAAGGTTTTTTGCAATAAAGGGTTAAGTTTACCATCTATCAGCATGTTTCAGTATAACCAAGCTTTGATTAATATGTTACACTGTTCACCCTATGACTCTCTAATTCGGGAGAAATTCTAGAATTTCTCTGGAAGAGGAGAACTGCAATTTTCTCTGGTTTGATCAATTTTCTCTGAATGAGTCAAAAAATAATTTTCTCTGTAATGTTTAATTTTCTCTGGATTTTTCTAGTTTAGAATTTCTTTGGAAAAAAAGAGAGAACTGTAATTTTCTCTAGTTTGATCAATTTTCTCTAATTGAGTTAAAACACAATTTTCTTTGTCTTGAATAATTTTCTCTGAGATGTTAGAATCTTGTGACAAAATGGGACAAAAGAGAAATTTTCAAGTGCATTTTGTTGAGTGATGGAAGTTAGAATTTTGTTATTGAAGTAGGATCAGTATTAGTTGTGAGTCATTTTTAAAAGATTGTGAATTAGATTGTCATAATTTTGGTATTTACCTCTACAATTGGTACTAGTTTTTGAGCTGTAGGTTGCAAAAATTTGAACTCAAAGAAATTTCAATTTTCTCTGGGTTTGGGAAGTCTAAAATTTCTCAAATTTCTCTGGTTTGAAACCACCACTCAGACCACCGCTACATTCATCAAAGGCAGTGTGGTAGAGATATCATAAATAGATGAATTGTGGGAAAAGGGTAAGCTTGAAGAGATTTGTAAACCAGAGAAAATAATGAAGA